TATAGGTATTGACATCACAATACATAATTATATATAAAATATGTTCATATATATACAATTATAGAAAATTATAGAAATCTTATACTATTTTATAATTTACATATTAAAAAATTTTGAATTTTTAAAATCTCTGTATCATTTTATAACTGTTTGGAAAATATCTCAAATTTTTTTATACGAATCTTACAATATTTCAGAATTCATATATATATAAAAGTCTATAAAAAAGTATATAGATTTTGAGTATATATTTCTGAAATTCAATTCTTTCAATTCTTATTATAGCTCCTACGAATTCCAACAAACGCGTTAAAGTGAGTAGGGTAGGAGCATGCGATGCAAACAAACAACTAGTAAAGACATAACGACAGTTATGTCGTACGATAGTAAATAATACCTGATAAAAAGAGAGACCGAACCTAAATGATGTGCGTGCGACGAAAACAACAACTAAGATTGGCTAAACTGGATCTATCACTGCGTAAGAGAGAGGACAGAGAATTAGAGAGAGAGAAAGAGACACTTGCAAACCGAGCATACCGTGTAATCTTTCCACCATAGTCAAAAAGAAAGAAAGAATATATGTTCACTTAATAATATGATTCTGATAAAATGCTATTCTTCACACATGCATTTTCTTTTGCACAGACGTATTCATACATATAAACAGTCACACATTTCAGATATGAATAACAGAAATTCTTCAATTTATATGTACATGTCACGATGTCACAATTAAAGTATTAAGTGTTAACTTTAGTAAATGTATATTAGGCCTGTCCAATTTTTAGCTGCAAAGCCAAAATGCATCGACGCAAAAAATTCTATGTAGATATTTTGTAAAGTGTTGATAAGATACATGTTTAACACTTTATATTTCTTAATTCCTCAAAATCTTACTCACATTGAATTTTTTACGTTAAAATGGTTTTGCATTTTTGCTTCAAAGCTAAAATTGAATAGGCCTGATGTGTACATTGATTACAGCAGACTACAGTAAAGATTTCATAGAGTTAATACTTTGACTATGACATAAATACATATAAATATATACAAATATATGCATTGTAATATATATACACTGTCTATATTATAATTATATATCATAATAAATATAATTATGATATATATTATTAAGCCAAAAAAGCCAGAGTACCGTGATATAAATATGACTGCATAATACAAAAACAGATTTAACATTAAAATCTTGTTAAAAGAGAAGATAAATAAATTATGTGAACAATTTATGGATTTAGATCACACGAAAAAAATTGCTTGTCGACGAAGTCATAGGAAATTCTACATTATAATCTTCATTTATAAAATCTTCATTAGTTTCACTCTTCAATCGTACTATCAATCGCTTCTTTCTCACACACTTTTTCTTCTTCACTTTCCTTTTAATTATTAAAAAGCGTACTTTCAATTTAATAACAATCTACCTGAAGAATAGGAAAATTTTAACTTTGGCGTCACTTAAATACCTGTGATTGCAATGGATGTTGCATTTGCTGCTGCAATTGTTGCTGCAATTGTGGATGCTGCTGCTGCTGTTGTTGCTGCTGTAATTGCTGCTGTAATTGCTGCTGATGTTGTAGTATTTGCTGTTGTTGTTGCATTGAAGCATTACCACTACCACCTGAAGCCTGCTGATTCTGTCCACTTTGATTTCCATTGGGTAATCCTATTGGCATTAATATCAGTGTTATTACTCATTAAATTTATTATCATTATCATTATTAAATTAGTCTCATATTACCACTGGGCGCTGGACCTTGAGCAGGTGACTGCGCCCATCCCTGCAAATCCGACAACATATTTTGCCAAACAGCAATCTTGTCGTTATGTCTTTTTATCAGTTCTTCTTTACGTGCCAACTCCAGTTTCAGCTCGTTGATTTCTTCCTTAACTAACATCTCGGGTTTCAGTGCAGATAAGAGAAATCTCTTTTGTAAAAAGAAAGCTTCCATTTGTCTGGCGAGATCTATAAATCTCATAGTAGCCTGTTCTATTTCTGCACGACCTTCATCTTTATCCACTGTCAAACCACCAGATGCACCAGTTCCACTGTTGCCCAATCCCTCGTCTTTTGTCAATATACTTAAACATTGCTGAAAAACAATAATTAATTAACATTCAATAATATAATTTGTTTTGACATTCTAAAACATTTCAGCAGTGTTGAATATTTGGAAACAAATTTAGAATCAAATAACAACTTAAAACTAAAAGAAATTCATATACAGGATGTCCCAAAATAACCACTAAATATTTTATGTGCTAGAGTGAACTAAACTGAGTAGAAAAGTATTCTACCATTTTGCAATTTTCATAATAGTTAACAGGACATTAAATACTATAAATCGCCGAATATTGGTATTCAATACCAATATTCAATACAATAATTTTTTATTCGAGTACTATTAACTTTATAGAGAAACAGCAAGAGCAAAAATTGTTAATTTTTTTCTCATAGAGCGCTAAGAATTTTTAAAAAATTTTTTATTAATTTTTTAATACTACATTTTCATATTGGCAACAATTTTTATCAACATAAGAAAATGTAATACTAAAAAATTCTGAAAAAATTCTCAGAACTCTATGAGAAGAAAATCAATTTTTGTTACTTGCTATTTTTTGATAAAATTGATAGTACTTGAATAAAAAATAAATATTGGTTTGAAAATCAATTTTCGATTTTAGTAATTAATATCTTGTTAATTATTACGAAAATTGCGAAAAGAAAACTTTTTGACTCAGTTTAATCCGTTCTACAAGTATACAAAATATTTGGCGGTTATTCTGGGACATTATACATACAATAATTAGTTTTCCGCATCGTTATGATAAACTTTCTTGTAACCACATATATATTTCAAATAAAAACATTTCTCTTAAAAATTTTTTTGTAATGATAATAACATTAACATATGCCAACAATAGAGCAATTTATTGTGATAATTCAATTTCGAGTTTTACATTCGAGGTATACGACTTTTACAAAAAAATGTCATCATCGACAAAATATTCCTCGATTATATCGACACGAATAATAATATGCGGTATATTCAATTAACAATAATACGGAGCAATGTAAAATGCTCATTTTACCTGAAATGATTCTTCAAACTCGTCGACGAGGTTACAGTCGCTGTTGGTCGGCGTCGCCATTACAGTATTATATGTTCTGTAGTGTTATATGTTATATCCGCGCGAAATAACTGCGCGCGAAAATAATCACCACGACTCCGTTATCACGATTGATTACCTTGATCTCGCGGGAATGCGCGAATTTTTCCCACACGCAACATACGACCCCTTCCCGCCGATTTGTCACGATCATGTGTCATGACGATTCAGGCTGGCGTCCCATGAGCGGAAATTTACAGCGGAACAGTACAGCGCGACCAATCACAATTCTACAGTCATTGGCAGTCATTACTCTGCTTTCTTTTCTGCAATTGTGATTGACTGTAAATTTCTGCTTATGGGACGTCAGCCTCAGACTATCTATGATGAAGACAGCTTCTCTCTGACGCTTATTGCTCCATCTTACTCCAGTTTTCCTCCTTTTCTCTTTATGATGGTGAGGAAAAGAAGGAAAGATAAACAATGAAAGAGATTCAGTTGAAAAGAATGAACTTTGCATTAGTATTGTCTTCAACATATGTAATCTTACGATGTTGATTAGTATCTTAAAATCATAGTGTAAGAATTGGTAATATTCTTATATCGTGCTTCAAATGATCTTAAATCTATAGCCGATTTTATGGTATTTATATCTTTATTTTAAGGGCGTCCTTAGTGATGTCTTAAGATGCTAATACAACCCTTTGATTGGCTTATAACTGTCTTAAGACTGTTAAAACAATTTCAAATATAAAAACCATCTGCAGGTATTTTTCATTTGGTGATACAAATCGACAGAAGTGTCTTTCTATCTTTGTTACTCTCTAAATAGATCAAGAAAGATAGAATGACGTTTGTGTCGATTTGTATCATTGAATGGAAAGCACCCTATAAATATTGGCTTATGACTATGTGTGGACCAGCCTTTATATACATACATTTGTCCACGTAGTCCTAAAAGCATTAAATTAATATAGCAATATAATCCATCTAATACTATTTCGTTATTTCATGCTCACGATCTCGCAAATTTTGCTCAGATTTACTGATTTCTGCCGATTCTGTTCATCTTGAGACATATAAGATTGAACAAGGTTGAATAAACTACGAATATATATAAATCAAGGATTTTCATTCAGTGGTGAGTATTCAGAAATTGTCTAAATCATATGTTAATTACTGAAAATGAAAGTCAACAATTACAATTTGCTTATATTATGAATCTCGAAAGTTTCTAATCTTCAGTTTCTTCTATTCTAAATAGATGTTTTTGCACTTAAAATTCCTCCCCCCCCTTCTCTGAGCTATTCTCTTCATGTAATAAATAACATTAGAGAAATAATACAAAATTACATATAAAATTAGTAAAATAATACATATATTTTTGCTAATTTTAGGATAGAAATTTAGAATAAAAAATATTTGAGGAAACTTCCAAAATGCATTTTGTTTAAATTTCATTTTTTTTTAAATTAGAGATGACAGGCTACTGTAAGATGTTCTGAAAGTATTTTTTCATCATCAATTTATGTGCTGAAAAAAGTCTAGACATTCGAAATATATTATGTCCTTTAACTTAAGACAAATAAAACGAATTTGTTTAATATTGTATATCTTACTGATTGGCAAATTATTATTTTCTGTAAAACGTATGGTTTTCTTGTGGTTTTCTTTCTCGTTTCCTGAAAATTATAAGTTTTGGACAAAATGCATTTTGAAAGTCTGCTCCTCATTTAGAATGAATGGACTTTAGAATAAAGGATTTTTTAAATATAGAGAAAATTAATTATAATGAACCTCTCAGAAACCAAATCAAATTGATTAACTCTATGAAATAGAAGAACTAGAAAAAAAATTAATAAAATTACAAATTAATATGTTAAAATTAAAAAATTTATTAAAAGTAGAGTTCATTAGCTTGACTTCTAAGAGGCTCAAATATTTAATTTGATTGAATCAAATGCTGTACATAATTATATTTGATTCATGCATATAAATTATATAAAATAAACGGCTTTAAGAATAAAGCAAATTATAGGATAAAAGAGCATAAACGCCAAATGCTAGATTTTATTGCGAATTAAAACATTATAAATATTCGTTTAATGTAATAAAATATATATTTTATATCACATTGTGAAATACAATATAACATAATAAATAAATGTTTATGTTTTAATTTACAATAAAATGTAGTTGGCGTTTATGCTTTTTTATACTATAATTTGTATTTGTTTCATATAAGATTTAGATATGTGATATTCAAACAACATAAAATTCATTAATTTCTTGAGATAGTATTGTAAGTACAACAATGTTTTCTCAAGCCTAAGTGTGTTGACTGTCGATTACGGGATGGACAGTCAGGTATGTGGAGACGGCAGGTTGATAGATGTGATCGACGAGGGTTGGCGCAAGGAACGTCTGCCCATTGATGACATCTCGACGCCAGTAGCTGAGCTGCCTGATCCTGAAAGTGACAACGGCGATTCTCATATGACGTTGAAGGAGTTGGAGCAGAAGTGGAATAATCTGGCATTAAGCTCTCTCAGCGACAATCATCTGCATTCTCCAACACCACTGCATAACTAGATATAACTTTCAGTTTCCCTAATTGCCAGAAAACACAATAAAGTCGATTATAATTTTGATTTGTTGCATCACAATGGAATTTCCGGAGACTGGTAAACACTGCTCAGTGAAAGACTGCAAATTGTTGGACTTCTTGCCACTTGTGTGTGAGCATTGTCAGGTCACTTTCTGTAAAGAGCATTTCAATATGGAATTGCATGAGTGTTTAAAAACAGAGAACTCAAAATCTGTTGTGGAACAATCGGCAAACTTTCTATGCTCTAAAGAATCTTGCAAAGATGCATCACCCGTCGAGATGCCTTGTATCAAGTGTAAAAAGCATTTTTGTGTAACACACAGACATCACGGATGCTTGGAGTTGAGTGAAACAGAGAAGACACAGAAACTGAAGAAGTGGCAGATACCAAAGAAACAGTTTGCGGAAGCAAAAGCTATAGTAGATCAACAGATTGCGGACAGTTTGAAGAAATCTAAAAATGTAGCATTGGCAAATAAAGTATGTTACTTTTATGAACTAAAAATACTTCTATATAATAGAAATATGAACGCAAATAAATTTTTCTTCCTCTAACAAATCAATCCTCCTTTGCTTGCAGGTACAACTCATGCGTGTGAAATGTTCTGCGATTGGTCCTAAAAATGTATCAACGAGCGAAAGAAGTTACTTTTTTGTATATTTGCCGTTGACAGTAAAAAATAAACATATAGGCACTTCGAAAGGGGCTTTTGTCAATACGAACTGGACGATTGGCAAGTGCATAGATTCAATAGCGGACACACTTAAAGTTCCCAACAATAATAACACAACTACCACGAATAAGTTAAAACTCTTCCGTCATTCTACCGGAGATCTAATATGTAGCAAGATGGATACACCTTTAACGCAATTATTTAAAGATTTGGCTATTTTTGATGGAGAGCGAGTTATTTTAGAATATTCT